CATGGCAAAAGATGAACCATGGAAAGTACTTACTGGTAAGCAAATTACCATGAAGTTGAGTTCTGCCTCTTCCGAATTTTTCGGCTCGACTAGAAGCATGTCCAAAGTGATGTCAGTAAGTAAATTTATTGAAAAATCTTTTACGCAATACCAGATACTTTCATTTTGCAAGCTTGCAGACTATTTGGTTAGTTAAATCTGTATTAAAGATGAAACAACAACAACATGATATTAATTTGAGGAGGACTCGGAAAAAAAATCCGAGTCCCAGATGGGATTTGAACCCACGACCCTCCGTGATCTAGTCGGATGCTCTAACCACTTGAGCCACTGGAGACTCTATGGTGAGAAAGGGCCAATTTGTGGGTCTCGACTAGAACCGCATCACGCGGCTACACAGCCAAGTAATGATAGGCACACAAGTAGTGAAGAACTCACTAAAAGCATACCGCTGTCACCTTAAAGCATATCAAAGATGCGGCCAACCAACCTCCAAAGTGAGTATATTAAAGATGAAACAACAACAACATGATAATAATTTGAGGAGGACTCGGAAAAAAAAAAAATCCCAGCCCCAAAAGAAACATTATAACATCAGTCCCTAATCATTAATGGTTTGAATCTGTAACGAAAACTTTTTAAACATGAAGTCCCGCATCTGTTGCGATTACAGAACAGCTATATCAAGTAATTCATTGTTTCATGTTACAACGCTACTTTCTATATACCACGAAAACTTTTTAAAGTAACACGGATTGGGATTTGAACAAAAATTAAGTCGGATCGACGGATCGGGCCTTAAAATACCACGGATCGGCGGATTTGCATACCGCTATTCACCCCCCTCCAAAATGAAACTACGCTGTGCACACGCCATCCCAAGTACAGTAAAAACCCTCGTATAAGAACCTAGATTTTATGCAGGCTAGATTTTATTTGTAAGAACCTGTCAGGCTAAGATTGTCCATTTAGATCCCTTTACATAACAGCTTGTTTTAGCCTACAATTTTGAAACTAGTTTCTTACTTTGAGCAGTGTTTGAGAAATTCGGCCAGAAATTACCAATTACCGTAACCCAGCAGCAACAAAGTATCATGTGTTAATATTGTTTTTGTTCTGTTTAACTTGCATAGCTTTGTATAAATTTATAACTGGCTTTAATTTAACATGGATTCAAGATATTTTTATAACATATTGTGCTCGAATACCAACAGAAGGCCACACTGACCAATGACTAACACCTTCTTTATTTTTATAAGGACCTGTTTAAGAACCTGAGTAGCTTAGTTTTCCAGTTAGCACCATTTTAATAAGAACCTTCTTAGCGTAGCTTCGAAAAACTTAGGTTCTTATAAGCGGGTTTTTACTGTATTTAATATATGAGCCGGCTTGAGACACTGTTGAGAGCAGAAAAAGGCGTTTCTGGTTTTCAGTAGTTTTTGCTTGTTAAAATGTCGAGTTTCGGTCCGGGCGGGTGGGGGGGGGGGGGTTTACTCCCTTACACCCCGTTTTGGTCTGAAAAAAGGTATGTTTTTCAAGGAACGTAGGGGAGTGTTAGCCTGAATTTCATTCGATTGCTTCGAGTCGTTTTCTCCTCTCAGCAACGTCCAGGAAGTAATAATGACTCGAAGTAATCTGATGAAATTCAGGCTACGGGAGTGCACGAACGTACGTATTTGTCGTTTCAATTCCAAATAAATCAGAAAAAAAGAGTAAGATGCGAATTCGAAATGGATTTTAAGAATCTTTTTGTTTGAGCTTAAGTCTAAAAATGATGACTTAATTTCTACTCATACCAGGTATGAAAACGGGTACGGACTCGGAAGCAGGCTAGTCTAGGGCGGAAAAATGGAATAAACAAAATTTATCGAGTTGAAAAAGTAACGNAGGTATGTTTTTCAAGGAACGTAGGGGAGTGTTAGCCTGAATTTCATTCGATTGCTTCGAGTCGTTTTCTCCTCTCAGCAACGTCCAGGAAGTAATAATGACTCGAAGTAATCTGATGAAATTCAGGCTACGGGAGTGCACGAACGTACGTATTTGTCGTTTCAATTCCAAATAAATCAGAAAAAAAGAGTAAGATGCGAATTCGAAATGGATTTTAAGAATCTTTTTGTTTGAGCTTAAGTCTAAAAATGATGACTTAATTTCTACTCATACCAGGTATGAAAACGGGTACGGACTCGGAAGCAGGCTAGTCTAGGGCGGAAAAATGGAATAAACAAAATTTATCGAGTTGAAAAAGTAACGAATTCTCACCACCTACAATATACCTAAATACAATGAGACATGTGATAGCGGAGTTTATTTCAGTTCGTTTTTGCAGGGGATTTAGCTGCTCTCCGTATTATCGGGGTGATCCTTATATATCCTGTCGCGATATCTGCAAGGCGAGATTTGACTGTATAAGGTTTGGTTCTCATTTTTTTCCATAGACCGTCTCAGTCCCCCTATTTTTCCGTAAGATCGTCGACATTGAGCGCTAACCATTAGGGACGGCCTTCTTCGTCCCCCGCCCTCTATCTTGATTTGATACTCCGACTCATCGCCACGAAATAAAAAGTGAGACTCTGAACAGTCTATTTTTCTATTTTGAATGCTAGCGTGGTCTCCTTTTGTTACGTGTGTTTAGTGGGCCTTGTTAAATAGTTTGGTTAATTTTGTTTCCGTCATGCGACTTTCTATAAGAAGTAGATGTTGCGATTTTTGACGGTGGACACCAATTCTTAGACAATTCCTGCTATACATGTATTTGTAGTATTTATCGTACAGTCTCCATTGGTTCAAACGTTAGATAAAGCTACCCATCAGATAAATCATTTTCCATTGGAAAAGTATAAAAAAGAAATAACTAATAATTAGTTTATTGTGTTATTCCCTGGAAAGGGATTTATCCAATGGATTTAAATAACTAGGACCAAGTCATTAACATAGATTTTTAACTGTCCATGGCAGTTTTATCGACCAGGGCAGTGCCACTCGATCACCTTTGCTAATGAGTGAGAATGTGTAAAGCGGTATCAGGGTCAAAATTAAGTTCCTAATAGGGACAGGCAGAGCGAAAGGCCAGCTCAACGTATTTAGGACAGGCACAGCGTATCGAGGACAGGCGCAGTGTATCGAGGACAGGTACGGTGTATTTAGGACAGGCACAGCGTATCGCGGATAGGTACGGCGTATCGAGGACAGCCACATCGCACTGAGGACAAGCACAGCGTATCGAGGATAGGCACAGCATATCGCGGAGGACTAAAAACCAAGAACCCCACAATCCCTTGCCAGCGGGACAAAACATGGCGGCCCGACAGGAGAGTTCATTCAAAATGTTTTGTAAAAAGGGAATTAAAAACAAAAGAGGGATTTGTTTCTACGGCTGATATTTCTCTTGTTGGCACATTATGTCCTACCCAGCGGGGGGTACTCCGGATTTCAGTTGACATGGTTGATCGAAGGATTTTTTTTGGTTTGAAATTTTTGATTTCGGGATTTTTTTTGGCAAGTATTTTTTTGGGTAGCTTGATTTAAGTAAGGAACAATCTGAAGATTCGTGATAGTTCCCGCGTATCCTAGCCTGCGAACAGCAGACGCATTTCCGGTCGTCGCTTCTCTCCCTCCGAAAAATAGGAGGGAGAGAAGCGACGACCGGAGATGAGTCTGCTGTTCGCAGGCTACGCGTATCCCGGCCGCGTAGTCCCCCGAAGAAAGTAAAACCAAACTTGTTTTGCGACTGATTTAATATTTAACGAATTACATTATATTGCATCTTTTTCATATGACCGGTTACTATCCAACCAATCATGTCAATAGTCTGCAAAGTGTCCCGGGGGTGTAAACCAACGCTTCAATTCATTTCTCCGTTTATCACCCGGCTTTTAATATAGTCACTTGAACTCCTTTTTGCCTTAATGTTCTTGGGTGTCTCGAGTGTCTTTATTACAATGACCACCAGATGCGAAAAAGGTTCTTACTCTAGATGGTGTGCGGGTGAATAAACAAACACAAACATTTTATTTCTAATGTTTCTTTTTTTCCGGTTATATCATTCAATGAATTCTGGAAATTTTTATTGCTCGGAAATTCGGCATGGGATTTTTTCCCGGGGGAGGCACTTCCTTATTTGGCCTATACGGATATGAGCCGCTGAACAGGGTACGGTTTTCAAGGTTTTGATCTGGTTTTGAGTCTTAAACAGGGTATACAATTTCACTATTAAGCGTCTTGAACTGGGTGTCTTTTTGGACTGGAAGCTTTTCAAAGAGTGTGAAGACTTGCGATGAGCGGTCTACATTTGCAGTAGCAATATTTTTTTCCTCAATATCTATTTCCACGATTTTAGTGTGAAAAACTACTTAATTCTGTATGCAAAACAAACAAATTAGGGTCAGAAAGTAGTGTTTCCTGTCTTAAACAGGGTAGCGAAATGAGCAATTTTTGTCTTAAAGAGGGTCGGGGTTTGAAGGCCTCAGCGGCACACCCCGTCCCAAACTTCCCTTGAGTGCCCCCCCCGGAATTTTTTTGAGGTTAAATTTTGGTCCAGGGATTTTTTAGGGTTTTGGTTGAAGCCCTAGGGATGTCATATCGAATCAACTTCAATTTGTACCGAAACGACTTGTATCGAAACGGCTTGGTATCGAAACTACCAGGAAACCCGACATAATGTGCCAACAAGAGAAACGTCGGCTGTCAAAACAAATTAAATCTTTCTTTTGTTTTAAACTAAAATAACAATCAGAATATTTATAAACAAATATCTTCCCTTTGAACAGAAAATTTTGATTGAACTCACCTGTAGGGCCGCCATGTTTTATCCTGCTGGCAAGGGATATGGGGTTCTTGGTTTTCAGTCCCCCTCGCCAGTCCCGGGTACGCTGTGCCTTTCCTCGATACGCTGTGCTTTTCCTCAATACGATGTGGTTGTCCTCGATACACCGTACCTGTCCTCGATACGCTGTGCCTGTCCTAGATACGCTGGGCCTGTCCTCGATACACTGTGCTTTTCCTCAATACGATGTGGTTGTCCTCGATACTCCGTACCTGTCCTCGATACGCTGTGCCTGTCCTAGATACGCTAGGCCTGTCCTCGATACACTGTGCTTTTCCTCAATACGATGTGGTTGTCCTCGATACGCCGTACCTGTCCTCGATACGCTGTGCCTGTCCTAGATACGCTAGGCCTGTCCTCGATACACTGTGCTTTTCCTCAACACGATGTGGTTGTCCTCGATGCGCCGTACCTGTCCTCGATACGCTGTGCCTGTCCTAGATACGCTGTGCCTGTCCTAGATACGCTGTGCCTGTCCTAAATACGCCGTACCTGTCCTCAATACACTGTGCCTGTCCGCGATACGCTGTGCCTCTTCTCGATACGCTGTGCCTGTCGTAAATACGTTGAGCTGGCCTTTCGCTGTGCCTGTCCTTAATACGCTGTGCCTCTTCTCGATACGCTGTGCCTGTCCTAAATACGTTGAGCTAGCCTTTCCCTGTACGGTGCCTGTTCCTATTAGGAACTGAATTTTGACCCCGAAACCGCTTTTTATTATATGGAGGAGAGTGTTTTACTGGGAACTAAACCACTCGTAGATTTCATACGCCACTTCATCCGGGACCCGAGTGGCGTATTTTCCGTATGTCACCTTTGTGAGTGTCGTATCGTTCAATGACATATCGTTCAATGACGTCACGATTCCCGCCTTTTGCTTTTGTTGAATTGGTTTCTCCATATAATAAAAAGAACATTACACGTTGGCTCGAAGATATGAATTTTATGTTCTCGTGGCAAGATCAATATCTCACGAGTGAGCGAAGCGAACGAGTGAGATATTGTTCTTGCCACTCGAACATAAAATTCATATCTTCTCGCCACCGTGTAATATCCTCTATATATTCTGTTCAGTCCATGTGAGCGAACTAACTGTTGTGGTTAAAAAAAAGTACAATCATGATGCTTTCCAGGGTGTCTATTTTTAGAGAATAAGCACGAAAATTTAAAATGAAACGCCGTCCTCGACTCTTAAGCTCTCTAATAACTCTCCAGTTTGATGTACCAAAGCGTTGCCACTTGATCACCTTTCCTAATGACTGAGAAGTAAAGAAGGTGGTAAAGCAGGTAAAGGCCGGTTTTACTTCCTGTGACTTGGCTTTATGATATCAGGAAGTAAAGACTCTCTATCTGCTCTTTCGTCAAAGGTTATAAACCTTTTAACACGTCAAAAGAAACACGTCAAAAGACTGGTAGGTGTGTAGATCAAAGTTGTTGTCAAATACGGCTTGGAGTTACACAAAGTTTCCTTTGACCTTTATTTTCGTGTTAGTTTACGTAACTTACGTTGTGAATTATAAATTTGTCTTTTCATAAATTATGAATTCTTTATTATGCATACGTGGATAGGACGACATTTGAAAGAGACCGTTATCTTGGGGAACATCACATGGCTGAAATGGGAAAACACGACGTACGACTGGGAGAAGAAACTATAAAAAGGTTTATAGATGAGAAATGGTGCAAGAGACGAGGGCAACGGTCAGAGATGACCACGCGATTAACTTTTCACTCCATTATTTTGTTTCAGTGGGTTTTCCGATTGCAATTTTGAAAGTGTAGAGGATGTTTTTCACGTTCATGGATAACACGACTTTTTCCCCTTGTTCGGAATCACGTTGGTGGAAAAGACACTGATCCCCAGTCCTGTCCCATATGGAGTACAGTGGACTCTCTCTTAACGGACACCTCTATAAGACGGACACCTCTGTAAAACGGACACTTAGAGTTGGTCCCTGCCTTTCTTTATCCCCTTTATTTGACTCTCTATAAGACGGACATCTCTCTAAGACGGACACTTAGTAACGGCCCCAGAGGTGTCCGACTTAGCAAGAGTTGACTGTACCCTAAAATGGACTACGCCGGTGAAGTCAAGTCACTGGGGTTAGGAAGCTGAGTGAATCAGGTTCCATTTAGGGTCATTATACTGGGAAAAGTGACTTGAAACTTGATTCACACAGTTGCCTAACCCTAATCACTATTCTTCAGCAGCTTACTCCTTTTTAAGGTAGTCCATATGAGGATAGTACATGGACTTGTGGTGAGTGTTTTGTCCAACGCCAGTAGTCACAATTCAATGACAATGTAATGCAGTGGCGTTTCGCGTCAAAGGACAGTTGAGGCAAAGTAGTTTTCACATATGGCTTGGATAGAAATCGGGCAGTGGTCGCTAACGGGAGGTGGTATTTTCCCACGCTGACGTTCCTGTAGCTATCTCGTGCATGCGATATCGTGTAGAAGAATATTGCTAAAATATCGCTTTTTGTAATGTTTATTATCATTTTTCTTTTTTGGGTTTCCACTTTTTATTTTTATTTTTTTTATTTTTGACGGCCTGACAATTTGTCACCCGTCACCCACCACCCGCTATCCGTCACCCGCTACCCGTCACCCGTTACCCGCTACCCGCGACCTGTCACCCGTCACCCGTCACCCGTCACCCGTCATCAGCGGAAAAGTCCTGCCGTCCACCGGACGGTTTCCAATTTATTTTTTGTTGCGTGACAGTGAAAACGATTTATAGTTCCCTCGACAGTCAGTTTAACCTTGTGTATTGAGCAGAGATAGAGAGAGAACGTGGCAACAAATATTCAATTAAAAGGTCAGAAAAACTCTTCGATACATTATATATAGATTCTGGAAAGATTCGGGTGTAGGATTATCCAACGCAATATGGGAAAACCGAAAGCAATCTTCCCTGGCGATTGGTAGCAGTTAAACTTACTTTAAAACCGCAGCTTACCGTTCGAATTAACTTGAATTAACAACAGCAGCTACAAATCACCAGGTAACTCCGTCGATGTACGTTTCGACGAAGTTTAGACATAACGTTTCTAGAGATTTTAAAAATGTAGCGGATTTCTGATGTATTGTCCTTTTTATAATTTGGAAGTTCAAGGTTTGATGTGATCGTTGATGTTGTATTACCCGTGGTTTACGGGCCACCCGAGCTTGACCGTATTTATTTTTTGCACACTCATCGTACATTACCGCATGATTATGTTATTTTCGCGGAGCGAGTTTATAATGTTGTTGCACGAGGATCGCAAACGGAGTGCAATTTCGCTTTGGTCATAAATCTTTCTATCGGTTTGGTATCCGCAGTTGCCTAGCAACAAGCCATAAACAAATCCTAAAGACGCCATGCGGCATGACGTCATCGTGCATTTTGGGTTTCCAGGCAACACAGCCACCGACCATAGGTTGGCAAATCAATGGGAAGGGGGGTCTCTACACAGGTTAGACAAGAGAGAATGATTATTCATTGCCTTAGTTATTAATAATCGCCGTGTCTAGATACCCGGCAGCCAGGAACTGTTTTCAAAAAACTAGATACCTGGCAGTCAGTAATTTTGACCCATTTTCTCAAAACAGCTCTTTTAATTCCTCTTAGAACACAAGACACTCGTTTAGAAATCTCTAGCGATTGTAAATATTGCCTTTGGATAAAAGTAGAAGCGACTGTCGAGCTTAGGCATAGAGTGAAATCTCAATCTCAAGTTCTGACACACTGAGTCAACTCCCGATGAATATCCACAGAAATTATCAACGAAACCTCACCAGAGTATTTAAAGTCGGTACACACTGGGCGACAAGTTACAGCAACATGTCGCGTTGCCAACAAAGGAAATAGGAGACGTCTGCACGCAGGCAACATGTCCCGGCGACACTTTGCAGCGAAAAATCGCTTTGTGTGTACTGGAGAATTTTGCCAAAATCTTTGTCGATACAGATTCAGTCTGATTTGATTTTTTGCGACTTGTTGCAGCGACAAAATTCTGTTGCGGAAACAAAGATTTTCATAAAAATTCTCCAGTACACACGAAGCGCTTTGTCGCTGCATCGTGTCGCCTCACCTTGGTGCTGCAACTAGTCGCCCGACCTGTACACATGGAGTGCTCTGTCGCCGCGACGTGTTGCTGCAACTTGTCGCCTAGTGTGTACCGACCTTTAGTGTTTGTTCAGAAATGCCGAGCGATTCTATATAAAGGTTTCGTATTGTTGTGGACAAATTCTCAATCTTGACTCACGGGTAAAAAAAGCGGGAAAAAGCGATAGCCGTCGTCATTCTACTATGTCGTAGTGATGGAAAAACTAAGATGTTAGAAGCTTAATCATTTTGCGATCGGTAGAGAGCTTAAATGTAACAATAATCGTTTTAACCTCATGATTTCTGCCAAAAAAAAAAATAGTTACATGAGCGTCGTCCTTGCTCTCGAATCTAAAGGTTTTTATTAGCCTGAGAAACGGAACCCTCTCGGGTGCAGCCTTCCCCACGTAAGGTCACTTCAAAAGAGACCTTACGGCCAGCTGAAAGGGCAATAGACCTTTTTACCGATACGGCGGCCATATTGAATTAATTCGATTTAAGGAGTATTATAGGATGCCCAGGGGGCATGAACACATTTCGTTTGTATTTTCGAGCGCTTTTCGGGACATTTTTTCGTAAAGTTTCTTAGAATAAGATTGTAATGGGAAAAAAGATCCTTTTGCCGTGTTTGGATGTAATAATGATCACCTTTTCCCCCCAGAAATAAACAGTGAAAGACCATATTTCTAATACTAAACTAGAAAGTGGCGATCATTACACTGTACAAGGATCTTTTTTCCCATTTCAATCTTATTCTAAGAAAACTTTAAGAAAAAATGTCCCGAAAAGCGTCCGAAAATACAAACGAAATGTGCTCATGCCCCCTGGGCATCCTCTAATACTCCTTAAATCGAATTAATTCAATATGGCCACCGTATCGTTAAAAAGGTCTATTAAAAAATCATGAGCGCAAGGCAGACGAGGGGGACCCTGAGCTTTTCTTCTTTTTCGCTTCCCATCGTACCCCACGTCCTTTCTTTTGTCTGAGACTACATTGTGTAGCAAATGCCCGGCCAACCAAAGTATCGTTTCGACACCGTGTAAAGGGTTTGAATCAGGGAGGTCAATGTGAGACTAAAAGAATGTTAAGATCTTAATAACTTTAATACGACATTTTAACTTTAAGTCTACCTTAGCATAAACGCCAACTAATAAAGCTTAAAAAGCTATACAATTATTGCAACTTTATTCCCAAAATAGAGTTGACTTTCTTAACCTGAGTTAAATGCGCTGTGCCAAACTCGCTCCCAAGGTCCTCCTCTCCTTTTCTCTCCTCCGGGGGCCGAGAAGGACAGGACCCTGGGAACGAGGTTGAACCTGAGCTTTCCAAGTAATACAACCGCATAAATTAAAAGGACCATTGAATTTAAGAACAACCGTCATGCTG